CAAGAGGTGGAGGCTCCACGAGCGGGCTGGCGGACGCTTGGGAGGAAGCCGTCGGAGATGAGGAGCTCGACAAGGATGAGTGGCCCGAGGCCAAGGAGGACGACACGACTGGGGAGTCCAACGACAATGAGGAGCCAGATGAGGATGAGCTCGACGCGCGTGGAGAGTTCGGGCTTGACTGAGACGAGGATGATGACCCACTGCCCATCGACAAGGATTGATCAATATCCATGGAGATGGAACCTTAACCAGAATCAGAGGGACAATGACACGACCCGATCCTTTTTGAAAACCAAACCGCAACTCAAACCACAAACCGGTTACTCCGGAGCAACCCAAAAAACTTTTTAAAATAAATAAACCGACAATGTTTAAGAATTTCAAACCAAAAGACTGAATACTTGGGCAAATGATAATCCCAATACTTAAAATAAAAGAACTCAGGATCTCCAGTTTACACTCCTAACCATGTAACAAGGAAATTAAACTATTCTAGCTCTGACTCTTCACGAGTTCCTTGACATCTCATCAATGCTGGTGCAGCTGCTCGCATCACCTTGCCTCTTCTTGTCGTCCGCCTCTGCTAATCCTTCATCGACCTGGTGAGTGAGAAGGGGTCAGTCTCGTCGTTACTTCCTAAGGTCTTTGCCCTAGGCAAACTCGTTACTAAACACATTATTAGAGTTTGCTTCCTAGCATGAAAGCCGTTCTCGCTTTCTGCTCCTGAGAGTGCTTGCCTTCTATCCTTAACTCAAACACAAAACACTAGGACCACCGCGTTATGTCTCGCCGTCCGGTGTCCTACCCTAGTATGCCAACCGCGTTACGTCTCACCGTCCGGTTGCATACCCAAACTCGGTAATGGCACTGCGTTACGTCTCGCCGTCCAGTCCATGCCCGTCAACTACTGCGTTACGTCTCGCGGTCCAGTAGTGACCCAACCTCCCGAGGGTTCCTCATACCATCAATCCATACATCATCACATACATTCATACATAGCACAACGCTTGCCTCCACCCGTACAGGCGGTTGGATGCCTCACACACATATCACACATACTAGAAAATTAACTAAATAATAACTTGTACGAAAAGCAGAAACTGAAAGACCTACGACAGAGATTTTACCCCTTAACACTCACCTCGAAAATATGACTCCTCAATTCCTTCCTCGAAGAAACCCCTCCTTAGCCGGATTATCTTGGGGAAACCTATTAATAAGAATCCATTTTCTTAGACGACCTTTCTTGATTTAAAATCTCTTTGAATCACTAGAACATCCTCTCCTCAAACTCCAGTCCTTGAACCTCATTTCAAGGGTCCTTTAACCCCCATTAAAATTTTCTAGAATTAATCCCTTCAAAAACGACCATTTTTCTTAATTATTTTATTCTTGGACGAATTTTCCACCTAACTAGAACCTTCTTAAAAATTTGGATAATAATTTTCCCATGTCAATCATTAGCACCTATACCCTGGAAAATTATCCAACCCTTAAAAACTCCTCGGAAAGATTTTTATTTAATTAAAATAAATATTCGAACAATTTCTAAAAATAGAAATAAATCTTAAAAAATCTCGAAATTAAATTACAATCATCTCCTAGACGTCGCTCAATTTATAAAAGTTTTAGATCCAGAAAAAATCTTCAGAGAGGCTCGAAACAATTTAAAACATCTAAAAATACGTTTCTGGAAATTTCCAGCAACTTTAGTGACCAATCAAAATCTGTCTCTAAAAGCCTGTTGCTAAAACCCCAGAATTCTACCCTCACGAAAAATCACCAACTCGATCGATCTAACTCAAAGGCATCGAGTTCCCTTACCTCTAGAACATGCCTAGGCCTAGGTTGGATGACCCGGGACGTTGATCTCCTTGTTGATCGAACCCTCAACGTCACCACTAATAAAATACGAGCTTCGGATTAGACTATCGATAAATCGAGTTTAGAAATCGCGAAGGGGTTCTTGATCCTTATCTAGAACGAAGGGATGGGGTCAGGATCGGGGTCGGGGCACAGGGAGGCGGCGACTCCCTTTCTTTTTTTTCCCTTCTTGTTCTTCTTTCTTCCTCTGCCTGCGGCGCTGGGGGAAATAATGGGGGGGGGGGGGGGTTGTTTTCTTTGCTAGGGAGTGGGGTTTTGAGGGTCACTCGGTAGGGATGACAATGGGTCGGGTTGGGGCGGGTTTCGTCAAACTCAATCCCAAACCCATGGGTTTATCTGCCAAAAAAACCCGGGGTAAAACCCGCTGGGTTTGAAAAACTCAAACCCAACCCAACCCGCTAGGTATCCGCGGGTTCATGGGTACCCATGGGTTTTTGTGGTAAAAAATTTACAATAACAAATTTCTTTCAAAATAAAAGTTTAACATCAATTTTCTCATACAAATTATTCATACAAAAAAAAAATCTAGAACATACAAGCAAACCGCAAATGATCAATACAAATTGTTCAAAATTAAAGATAAACATCTATAAACAACAAGATTAATTGAAATCTTCTTCCTCGTCAAATAAGTTTCTTCACTCTCCACTCCATAATATCAACTTCGTTCTAAACAATTAGAAAGAACAAATTATACATGTCTCCACAAACATAAATAATATTAGTTGTTTAAAGAAGATATATTATTTAGAATATCAAATATACCGGGAAAGTAATTACATGTGTGGGCGGGTACCCATGGGGCGGGGTTACCTAAACCCGACCCAACCCGGTGAATAGTGTAGTGGGTTTAAACCCGAACCCGGCCCAAAACCCATCAACACGGGTTTTACCCGTGTTGACCGGGTTGGGTCGGGTGGTACCCGTGGATTCGGGTTTTGTTGCCATCCCTACCGCTAAGCCCGGCCGAGCAATGTATTTTTTTAAAATAATTATAGTAATAATAATAATAATAGTTATTATTATTATTCCTAATCCGCAGTTGTAACTCTTAGTACTTAACCGTCAATCCAACCGATCAAGTATTATGGTCGAACCTAAATCTAAAATATCGGGTTGTTACATTTCCTCCACCCTTACAAAAATTTCGTCCCCGAAATTTGCTCGGAACTCATCCTTCTATCAACACCCTTCTTACACTTCCTTCCCACGATCATATATTCTTACTATAACAACTTCGTTGGTACCTTTTGCTCAAATAAGTTTCCTTAGCTTGCAGCACCCGTGTAACCATAAGTGTCTCACTGCCCTTTTTACTTCCCAGCTTGATCCAAACATGGTGAGACAAAATGCCAATTCGGCTTGTCATGTTGATCCAATTCTCCTGGTAGTTGATGTTGAACCTAAATCCAAAATCGAGACATCACATTTCCCCCCTCCTTAAGAAAAAATTTCGACCTCGAAATTTGTTCGTTGTGACGACTCCAAGTTTCACTTGTGATAATCTCTTTGAAAGGAGTTGTACCTCCTTCTAGCCTTGATGTATTGATCCCAAGACATCTTGGGAGGCTCCCTATGATATACTTAGTTCTTCCTTTGCTTGCTTAAGTGGCCCTATAATTTTTCAAGGTCTAACTTTCAGCTGCTCCTTGGGGTTATAGCCCTATGTTCAATTCTCCTGAACTCCACGACCCTTCCTTGCACCCTTTCCTCTCGATTATGGCGACATTTGCCATAACTCCTTGGCTCTACCAGTCGATGTACTACCTGCTTGGCTCCTTCCAGAACCTTATTCTGATCAGCTCACACCCCCATAGAATATGAGCTACCTTGACCCTCCTCTTCTCACTCATGAAGGGATTTCACTAAACGATCCCTCTAGGAACCTGCTCCTTCTCCTTCCCAAGACGTATCATACCCCCTAGGACATCCTAAAGTTATTTCCTTATCATGGTTAGAGTATACTGGAGATCCTAAAAATTTCCAAAAAACTCTTGACTCATTTGGCCAAACTTTTAACTGACACTCCCTTTTTCCTTTCCTTTTAAAAACTGAAACTTTAAAAAACGCAGATCGTCACTCCAGTCACTACAACAAATTCGGCCTATTATGACGAGGAAATTTTGACATATTAGCTAACCATTTTGACATATTATGCATAATATGACAAGAGGTGTTGTCACAAAGGTTTGTCATTTTATCGCCGTCAGGATAGGTCAATTGTGACAAAAATTTAAAACAAGGTTGTCACATTTGCTTTCAATATAATTGAGTTTATGAGTAGTCTATTGTGATAAACAGAGAAGTTATGACAACATATTTTGTCATTACGGTTGTTATAATCTGGTGATTTTGGGAGAATTGTTCGTCATATTACATGATTATATTTTGTCATAACTGTATATTGTGAAGATTACATTTTGTCACAAGTGTTTATTGTGACGACATTCTTTTGTCATAACTAAATATTATGACGAATATATTTGGGCGTAACTGCTTATAATGACAAGTATAGGTTGTCAGGAAAGGTGGTTTATTTGTCTCATGTCTAATATGACAAGAGAACAATTTGTCAGGCAATGTACATAATGTGACGATATGACATTGTTGTCACATTTGACCTACTTCAAAAATTGCATAATTCGAAATTGTTTCCTGCATTGCAACCTGATAATGGACCAAAGATCCAAAACATTACAATCGTTTCCTTAACAGTCTAACTCATTGTTTAGCATAACCAAACACTCTAAGTTGTCCACCATGACACAAAACATTCTAAGTCCTTAGCATATCTTGGGTTCTCCTTTGGTCCATACTTCACCTTTTTCTTCACGATCTTCTGAACAATCTCACGGCATGATACATGATAATTCAGGTCAAAATGTAAACCATGTTCTCAGTTTCAGTTTCTAAAAGTTCTTTCCTATGCTAGAAAAACTCCTGCAAAACAAATTACGATGGCCAATTTTTGTTTTAGCTACTTTGACAACAAAAGAATGATTGTATCAGTACTAGGTCTGCCATCATCCTAATCGAGGGAAATTTTGTAAACGAACCTGAATTACTTGTTGAGCCTTCTCGACTTGGGAAGTGGAGCCCTTGATTTCTACTATGATCTAATCAAGATAACCTTTACTCACTTGAATTGTGAGAACTGCTTCGCTGACACGGCGAATGTAGGCAATATACGTCCCGTTAACTCCAATGATATCGCCCGGATACAAGAGTGGCACTTGCATGGTTTGTGTCACCTGAAAGAAAAAGCCTAAATCAGTCCCTTTTCATACTTGAATGTTCCATATTTATTAGGGAACAATTTAACAGAACATAAATATGTTAAGATCGTTCCAACTAAGATTAAGGGACTACCATGATGAGTTTAAGACCCTACTTGAGTAACTATAGGGACATTGGCATGACCAAGACCTATTGAACGCAATCCAAGTGCATGGTCTTGTCCATGTATATAGAGAGAGAGTCCAGGTTGTAGAATTTTTTTGTTGTTTGATATGTGTGTCACGTTCAAATAGTAAAGGATCCCTCTTTATTGATAGGGAATAGTCGGAACTGATCATCCATGTCTGAGAAGTAGAAACGGAATACTGCAGTGAGGGCTGAACTCTATTGGGCTTGGAATCAGCAAAGCGCTCTTGTGTCTGCAACAAACAGAGCATATTAGCATAAATAAATAGTATTGTAATTCCTATACCAAGATCAACTAAGGTCTAATAGTACTACTTACTATTTTCTCAAACATGGGGATGAAACTCTGGTCAACCAAGAACTTCCTAAGTTTTCCAGTTACTGCTTCTAGTGCGCTAAGAACCTTCAGTGCTTCCCCATGTCCCTTCACAAGCCGTTCCTCTAAAGCAGCATAGGAAGGTGATTCGCCTACAAATAGAGGCATGTATATTAAGATGTTTCCTTTCCGAAATGCAAAAGAGAAAAAGGAACCGCTTCCACTTAGAGCACAAGAAGGAACTACATATTAATGTAATCATACAACAGATCGTTAACACTACCCAGCTACATTCTACATTCTAGAATGTTGAAATGTAGCAGAAGATGATGGGGAATGATTATGATGTATACTACAAACTACACTGCGAGAAATTAACCGAAAAGTAACTTAGTTCTCAGCTTCTCCACAACAAAATCATCAGTCTCCTTGAATCCAAACTGTCATAACTTTGACAATCTAGGCATTTACGGATAGACTTTGGAAGAGGGCTCTCCAAAAAGAGGCACATGAAATAATTATATAGAGAACTTTAATTCCACAACTAAACAATACAACCAGGAAGTTGGGATGCATACTATGAGCAAATCTCAATTCACAATTGGACCAAGAAAACCAATCAAAGCTCAAAACTTTCAATCGCAGAGTACAATAATATTGGGTTACCGACTCCATCACCAAAAGACTCTTCTACAGTTCTGCTCACCCTCAACCCAAGCTCATCCCCAACCTAAAGGATCAACAAAATCCACTTCAATGGTCCTCAGCAAGTTCCACACAAACTTCAGTTTTAAACCCAACTCTCCATTCAACAGTTAAGCTATCAAAATACCCCCATGAGCCCTCCATAAATACAAGACCTCAGAATGCAACTTTTACTATAAAGAAAACCCTTTAACACAAATAATTCCCCCTTCTTTGGGAATGGACGGAAAGAAAGATTCATAAAAAAACCTTTGGAATAATAGTACTGGTTCTCGATATCAACATCTTGTTCCTCATGCTCCCCGTCTGAGTACTCGAACACATAATCTTTCATATATGCATTTGAACACGAACACAGACACCAACATCGAAAACCCCCAATTACGCTAACTTCTCCACTATCGATCCCAACATAAGAAACAATCTGATACACGATAATATCCTGTCCACGTTTGAAAGCCCTAGTCATCGACACCAGAAAAGAGAGTACGAAACTCACCTGAACCCATGATCGAGAGAGTTACACCGTAGGCCTTCGTTTACTTTCTGTTGCGGGAACGAATCTGAGGAACAACGGCCCCTTCAGAAGCTACCGGAAAGAGAGGGCCGAAATTCAACTTCCACGGGCCTGAAGTTTCTCTTCGGGATTGTGATTTTGTTCACCACGAACTAGGGCGCGCTAGCTAACCTCCATCCCTTGACGGACATCGGGCTCCGATTGCTCGACAATAGGATTCCCAACCGGTATCGAGGCCATTGTTGCTGCCGGGGATTAATAGATGACGAGAAAGAAGCTTGAAGGCGACTAGGCCTCCTCATTCCCAAAAAAAAAAAGGAAAAAGAGTGGGGTCCTAGGGTAAATTTATTGGTTGGGAGAGAGGGAATTTCAAGTTTTAGGCGGGCTGAAAATTGGGGTCTAAAAATTGGGAGGGATTGAAAAGTGGATAGTTAAAAGTTGGGCGAGATTGAAATTTGGGTGGGGGAAAATGTGTTGACCGAGCCGATTGGTTTCAATCTAACACGGGCAAATCTGACGAAAATATCTTTTGTCAAAAACGAAACCACTATATTATGACAAACATGCTTTTTGTCAAAGCCAAAACCACTATATTATGACGAACATGCCCTTTTGTAAGCTCGTCGTGGGATTATTGCTATCTATTGTGACAAAATACTTTGTCATTAAAACAATTCAGGAAGGCATAATATGACAAAAGTAACTCCGACGATATAATTTGTCACTTTGTGTCTCTTACATCCCGTATGGGATGCCTATTTGGACAAACTTAATTATGACACATAAATATTTGTCACATTACTCACTTTAAATGACAAACTATTCTTACAACAACAAATTTGTCACTGTTGAGTCTCTTACATTCCGATATGGGGATGCATATTTTGACAAAATTAATTGTGACACGAAATATTTGTCACATTACTCATTTTAAATGACGACTTATTCTGACAACAATTTTTTTGACACATTAGGCATACCAAATAGGACATATATTATTTTTGTCATATCACCGTACCTATTGTGACAAACAGAAAATGACAAAATAAAAATTTGTCCTAATAGGCCGAATTTGTTGTAGTGAGTATTCCTTGGAGGCCAAGGAATATAGGAGTGCCGGCTCTGATACCAAAATGACATGACCCGATCCTTTTTGAAAATCAAACCACAACTCAAACCACAAACTGGTTACTCCGGAGCAACCCAAACAACTTTTTAAAATAAATAAACCGACAATGTTTAAGAATTTCAAACAAAAAGACTGAACACTTGGGCAAATGACAATCCCAATACTTAAAATGAAAGAACTCAGGATCTCTAGTTTACACTCCTAACCATGTAACAAGGAAATTAAACTATTCTAGCTCTGACTCTTCACGAGTTCCTTGACTTCTCATCAATGCTGGTGCAGCTGCTCGCATCGCCTTGCCTCTTCTTCCAGTCCGCCTCTGCTAACCCTTCCTCGACCTGGTGAGTGAGAAGCGGTCAGTCTCGTTGTTACTTCCTAAGATCTTTGCCCTAGGCAAACTCCTTACTAAACACATTATTAGAGTTTGCTTCCTAGCATGAAAGCCATTCTCGCTTTCTGCTCTTAAATAATCATCCTTATCAACTCATTTCAACATTAACTCCTAAGAGTGCTCGCCTGCCTTCTATCCTTAAATCAAACACAAAACATTAGGACCATCGTGTTACGTCTCGCCGTCCGGTGTCCTACCCTAGCATGCCAACCGCGTTACGTCTCGTCGTCCGGTTGCATACCCAAACTCGGCAATGGCACTGCGTTACGTCTCTCCGTCCAGTCCATGCCCGTCAACTACTGCGTTACGTCTCGCCGTCCAGTAGTGACCCAACCGCCCGGGCGTTCCTCATACCATCAATCCATACATCATCACATACATTATACATAGCACAACGCGTGCCTCCACCCTTATAGGCGGTGGGATGCCTCACACACATATCGCGCATACTAGAAAATTAACTAAATAATAACTTGAACGAAAAGCAGACACTAAAAGACCTACGACAGAGATTTTACCCCCTTTACACTCACCTCGAAAAGATGACTCCTCAATTCCTTCCTCGAAGAAACCCCTCCTTAGCCGGATTATCTTGGGGAAACCTATTAATAAGAATCCATCTTCTTAGACGACCTTTCTTGATTTAAAACCCCTTTGAATCACTAGAACATCCTCTCCTCAAACTCCAGTCCTTGAACCTCATTCCTAGAGTCCTTTAACCCCCATTAAAATTTTCTAGAATTAATCCCTTCAAAAACGACCATTTTTCTTAATTATTTTAGTCTTGGACGAATTTTCCACTTAACTAGAAACTTCTTAAAGATTCGGATAATAATTTTCCCATGTCAATCATGAGCACCTATACCCTGGAAATTATCCAACCCTTAAAAACTCCTCGGAAAGATTTTTATTTAATTAAAACAAATATTTGAACAATTTCTAAAAATAGATATACATCTTAAAAAATCCCCAAATTAAATTAAAATCATCTCCTAGACGTCGCTCAATTTATAAAATTGTCAGATCCAGATAACAACCTTCAGAGAGGCTCGAAACAATTTAAAACATCTAAAAATACGTTTCTGGAAATTCCCGGCAGCTTTAGTGACCAATCAAAATATGTCGCTAAAAGCCTGTAAAGCCTGTTGCTAAAACCCCAGAATTCTACCCTTACGAAAAAACTACCAACTCGATTGATCTAACTCGAAGGGATCGAGTTCCCTTACATCTAGAACGTGCCTAGGCCTAGGTTGGATGACCCGGGACGTTGATCTCCTTGTTGATCGAACCCTCAACGTCACCGCTAATAAAATACGAGTTTTGGATTAGACTATCGATAAATCGAGTTTAGAAATTACGAAGGGGTTCTTGATCCTTACCTAGAACGATGGGATGGGGTCAGGGTCGGGATCGGGGTCGGGGCACAGGGAGGCGGCGGCTCCCTTTCTTCTTCTTCTTTCTTCTCTGCCTGCGGCGCTGGGGAAATAATGGGGGGGGGGGGGGGGCGGATGGGGAGTTTTTGGTTTTCTTTGCTGGGGAGTGGGGTTTGGAGGGCCGCTCGCCCCGGCCGAGCAATGTGTTTTTTTTGTATAATTATAGTAATAATAATAGTTATTATTATTATTATTCCTAATCCGCGGTTGTAACTCTTAGTACTTAACCGTCGATCCAACCGATCACGTATTAAGGTCGAACCTAAATCTAAAATATCGGGGTGTTACAGACAATCAGTAGCAGGGGAGTTTGGGGGCTCAATAAATAAAAGCTGAGGCTGGAGGAAGCTAGGGTCTTCACGTGGAGCTGAACTGTTGGTAGGATAATATGAGAGATGTTCCAAGAAAGCCACGTGCAAGACATCCGAATCCTCCTATTTGTCACATAATAACAGACATAGCCTTTGTGTTTGTCACTGTAACACCCAAAAATGCACTTGACAGCTTTGGGAGCAATTTTATGTCTCTTTTGCCGAGGTAACAGAACATAACAGACACATCCAAAACTCGTAGAGAAGCATAATCCGGTAGACGCTGATAGAGCACCTCATATGGACTACGATGAGATATGACAAGAGTAGGTTGGCGATTAATAAGGTAGACAATAGTATGAACTGCTTCAACCCAGAAACCAGAAGGGATACATGACTGAAACAAAATCGCCTGAGTAAGCTCCAAAACATGTCAATGTTTTCTTTCAACCAGTCCATTTTGCTGTGACACCCCAGGACATGACTATTGAGGTAGAATGTCGTGTTCCTTGAAGACTATCTGCAATGGTCCTCACAAAAATTCACCCTCAGGATCTGATCTAATAATCTTCACAGTTTTCCCAAACTATGTTCTTATCATCTGAATGAACTCTTTAGCAACACCGAGAAGCTCCGACTTCTGACGAAGGAAGTAAATCCATGCAAAACGCATTGCATAATCTATAAAAGAGCAAAATATCGAAACCCCACGTGTGACGTTACAGTAGAAGGCCCCCAGAGATTAGTGTGAACTAAATCAAATGGATTAGAATAAACTGTTGTACTATTACCAAAAGGATGCTGAGATAATTTTGCTTCCAAACAATGTGTGCAAGTACTAGTAGAATCCAACACAAATGAACCCGACAATAGCTTATTCTTAAACGTCTCTAACAGTCTAGCAGAATGGGGATGTCCCAAACGTTTATGCCACAAAAATATCAATTTGATAAATGAACAGAAAAACCAACTGAACTACTAGACTGAACTCCAACTGCAGAGGACGGTTCAGCTGCCACGGACTTGATTTCCACACCCTCTTTGACCGCTGCACCATCCTACCGCCTATCAAGACTTTCTAGAGTGTATATCCGACCTCGTCTAGTTCCCTAGCCGATCTCCTTCCCCGTCTTCGGTCCTGCACAGTGCAACTAGTGGCATCAAAGATGATGCGACGACCTTCTTCAGCTAAATGACCAACAGATACAAGAATTGGTACTACTCTAGGAACATATAGAGTATTGGGAAGACATAAGCCAAGATTTCTAGCCAACACAATGCCATGGGCGGGCAAGCGAGTACCATCAGAAACCTGCAACTGAAGAGAACTAGTAGGTTGCAGTTGACGGAAGGATGAGCGAGAACTAGTCATATGGTTAAATGTAGCTGAGTCAAGATGCCAAGTGGGAGTAGAGGGATATGGCATACCATACCAACAGTGAAAACAGAACCCAAAGTCGACGGAAGCACATCACAGACAGCCTCTTACAACATTTAATGAATGGTATCCTGAGTGATGGAAACCGAAGCTGGGGCAACTAAAGAATCCACATAGTCTGGGCGTGCAGATGATCCTCGACCAGACGAGCCAGCCCCCTGCTTATTACGACCCCTCTTTGCAAGAATCGAACAATCCCCAATCGTATGGCCAGTTGCCTTGCAATAATTACAAGCATTTCGCTTTGGGCAATGAAGTTGGACATGTCCCGAATCCTTACATAAATAACATATAATTCCCCCAATAGCAGTACGTTGAAAGCGAGGACGATCAGATCCCACAGCAAAAGCAGAAGGAGCAAGGGAATTACCAAAAGGAGGCGCCAGCTGAAAAGGCTGCAGGAGTAGCATCCGCAGCAGGTATGTCGATCTTGGCTTGACTCCTAAGCCGTGTTTGTTCGCAAATAAGCTCTCCCAGCACATCCTCCAGCTTGGTAACATTGCGATTTAATAGGGAAGCGTAAAATCCCTTCAAACTC